CGAAAACCAAAGAAACGATTCAACGCGTACAAACGATAATCGAATGATATCATTCTGAATAGAAATTTACGAGGAGGTTTCGAAAAGGTTACCGTCTTCGGGAAATAACGAGTTATCGGGAAAACGGGTAGAACGAAAGGGCTGCACGTAAGATCGAACGGGGCCTCGACGGAACTCGGGAGGACTTCGGTTGTAGGCTCGTGCACGGGTCACGGGCTGGAGGTTGCCTGCTCGGGGAACGACCAGAGAGGAACTTCTTGTCGGAAATATTGATAGATGGACCTGAAACTCGGAAAAAGGACGGTGGCTAGCACTCTGCTCGGGGAACGGACTTCAAGCCTTACAGCGGCTGTGGATCCTCGGGACGGACGATGGTGACATAACGAGGTTGTTGATATGAGACGTCGGCTAGATTTCCGCCTGAAACAATGGTGGCTCGCTGGAAATTGCAAACAGAGGATGAGATTTGAAATTAATTTGGATTTGAAACGAATTTTATTTGAGGTAATCTGAGATAAGGTCTACACATCCGAGTCTTAAGTAGAGGGGGAGCGAGACGCACGAAGAGGGATTATCGCGAGAAAATCTCACCTGCAAAAACCGATTGAACGACGCGAGAGAAAAAGAAGGGAGGAAGAGGACGAGCTGTAGAAATTTTGGGCCAAAGCTAATAAATCCATTTGGGGCAAAATTAAAACAAGAAATTGGGCCATCAATATCTAATCCAATTGGGCTAAGAAAAAAAATATCTCTTATTGGGTTATAGGCATTACTCAAGTTGGGCCAACATAATAACATAATTCGGGCTGAACATAAATTCTAAAATTGGGCTGGAAGGAAGACAATGCGATAACAAAAATTTCCGTTCGATCCGATTTAATAGAATATGGCCCGGAATAAATAAGTAAAACCGGATTAGTTATATTTATAATGCACGCAATATATATATATTTATATAATAATAGGCATTTAAAACAATTAGACATTTAATCAATAATAAATATTTAATAATAATAATAATAATAATAATAATAATAATAATAATAATAATAATATAAATACGCAATAATAATGGAAATAATAAGCTAATAAATAATCTCAAATAATTCAAATTCAAACGGGGCGTTACAGTCTACCCACCTTACAAAGAATTCCGTCCTCAGAATTCGAAAATAAACTAGAAAGCGATAAAATAAAAAGGAGAACTCAGAACTCAAAGTTCGGATAACGCCTCCTAATACCGTCCTCCCTTTCCCAAGTCGCCTCGGTCTCATCGTGTCGGCTCCACAGCACCTTCACTAAGCTCACTGCCCGGTTCCACAGTTGATGGACCTTCCGGTCCAGGATAGCTACCGGCACCTCCTCATAGGTAAGGTCTCGCTCGACCTGCAGCTCGCCGAAGTCCACCACACGATCAGGATCATGCACATACCTCCGAAGCATCGAGACATGGAACACGTCGTGCACACCCGACAAGTCTGGTGGTAAAGCCAGCCGATACGCTAAGTTACCGACTCGGTCGAGGATCTCGAACGGCCCAATATAGCGAGGTTTAAGCTTCCCTTTCTTTCCGAAGCGAATCACACCTCGCATGGGTGAAACCTTCAGGAAGAAATGATCTCCCACAGCATAAACATGCTCCTATCTCTCCCGGTCAGCATAGACCTTCTGCCTCTCCTGGGCAGACCTGATGGTCTTCCGGATCTCCTCAACGGTCGCTGCAGTACTCTGGACAAAATTCGGACCTGTAATCCTCCTCTCTCCAACCTCATCCCAATACAAAGGGGTCCGGACCTTACGTCCGTACAAAGCCTCGTACGAGACCATCTTGATCGAAGAGTTGTAGCTGTTGTTGTAGGTCAGCTCGACTAGAGGAAGGGCATACTCCCAAGTCATGCTTTGGTCCAAGACCACAACCCTCAATATGTCCTCCAAGTACTGGATCACACGCTCCGACTGACCATCTGTCTCAGGGTGGAAGGCTGTGCTGAACTCCAACCTCGTTCCCATGGCTCGGTGCAACTTCCTCCAGAACTGGGATGTGAACTTGGCATCTTGATCCGAAATAATCTCCACGGGCACCCCATGAAGCTTAGCAATGTCCTTGACGAACAATTCGGCGTAATCACTTGCCTTCATGGTCGTCCGAACTGGCAGAAAATGGGAAGACTTCGTAAGGCGATCCACTATCACCCAAATCGAATCATACCCGCCCCTCGACTTCGGCAGTCCCACTAGGAAATCCATGGTGATGCACTCCCACTTCCACAGGGGAACCTCAAGGGGCTGCAACAACCCTCTCGGTTTCTGGCGCTCAGCCTTCACTTGCTGACACACCANGCACCCATCCACGAACTTCGCTACCTGCCCTTTCATGCCTCGCCACCAGAAAGACTTCCTCAGGTCTTGATACATCTTCGTGCTACCAGGATGGATGGTGTACGGGGCACTATGGGCCTCCCTCAAAATCTCTCTCCGCAGTTCCCATACTCTCGGAACACAAAGTCTACCCTCGAAGACCAAGGCTCCATCAGATGCGACTGCGAACCCACCAACTCTACCTGCTTCCGATAACTCTCTCATCCGGCATAAGAAACGGTCATTCAGTTGCTCGGCAACTATTCTCTCTCGAAGAGTCGGTCCCACAACCAAAGAGGTCAACACGCCCCCGGCTGTCGAGGTCGACTCCACTGCCTCCAACTGTAATCGCTCGAACTCCCGAAGAAGAACATCCTGCCTGGTAAATAAGCAAGATAGCTGGCCATAACTCCTCCGACTCAGGGCATCGGCTACCACATTGGCTTTCCCAGGATGATAGCTAATGGTGCACTCGTAGTCCTTGACCAGCTCCAACCATCTAAGCTGCCTCATGTTCAGCTCCTTCTGAGTGAAAATGTACTTTAGGCTCTTGTGGTCGGTAAAGATCTCACACTTGCCTCCATAGAGATAGTGCCGCCAAACTCTTAGAAAATGATAAACTCTTAGAAAAATTATTTTAAGTTCTGAGACTCCACTTTCATTCTCCAAGTCATATTTTTCCAAAATGAGAGAGTTCTAAGTCCACGAAAAATCCTGTTATATCCCTTAATGGTCGATTTTCGATTAAGTATGATTTTTCTATATTATTTCGAATAGTGAAATAAATATTGATTATTATCTCTCTAAAATGTATGTGTTTGAGGAGTCGAGCCTCACCGACCTACCGATTTATTTTTGTGCTTTTCTACCTAGATAACCAGGTGGGTACAGTTTGTGTATCTATAATTATTACATTTCGTTATTTCGTATAAATGTTCGTCTCGATAACTTTAGTATGTCTGAGAACTCTAGTCTAGTGTGTTACACCGCCAAGGGCATCTCGCCTTTAGTGCCTTTGATGAATGCATAAGTAGTGCGAGGTCACCTGCCCATCGTATCCAGGAGGAGGACGCCCTAGCCCGTGTGTTGGGGAAAAACATCTCGACTGTCTCCTGGAAAAGATCCCTTAGCCTGTGTCGAGCCGGGGTGGGAAGGTTTTCGGTTACTTCCTTACCGATGTCTGATCGGAAGGTTGTTGTATGTACATAGGAGGTTTGCGATAGAGCCATATAGGGAGTTAGACCTGGATTCTATGCATACTCTATTTATGGTGTTGGATCTTTATGCGAAATATACTTATGCGATATTGGTGAGCATATTGGTTTTTCTCACCCCCATTGTTTGTTTTGTCCTCTTGTTTCCTCTTCCTATCTTTAGGTTGAGCATTGTTGGCGGCGACAGCGAGAGACGAGCAAGTGGTGGTCATTGGATCGTCATGTCTCTACTTCCGCATTTTTTTATATGTTGAATTGTTATTTATGGATTTTGATGCTTCCGCTTAAACGTTTTGAACATGTTGATGGAATTATGTGAAATCTCATGAGATTGATTTGGAAAACTTATTAATATTTGGCTCGATTAATTATGTTGTTAGAAATGCATATGTAGGTTTTTGTGGTTAGTCTTAATTGTTATTTTTGTTAGTAATTAAGTAGCGCCCGTTTAAGTTCATGTTTTAAATTGAGATTTTGAAAAATTTATTTTGATTTTTATAAATAAATTCGGTAAACTCTTTAAAATAAAATGGGGCATTACAGTATGGTATCAGAGCCAGTACCCGGACTGGTATGCCAGCGAGGACGCTGGGCCCCCAAGGGGGGTGGATCAGATATCCCACATCGGTTGTGGAGGAGAACGAAGCATGCCTTATAAGTGGTTGTGGATACCTTTACTTGTAGGACGCGTTTTGGTGAGCTAGTTCCCAAAGACAAAACCGTGCAGGTGAGCGAGCCCAAAGCGGACAATATCATACCACGGGTTGGCTGGGCTGTTACTATGGTATCAGAGCTAGTCTGCGTTTCTGTAGACTATCTCTAGTGTTTGTGTATAATGACCATTGACCACTCACTTTCGTCTCGTCGCGCCAACTCGAGGTATGAGTTTATTGTTTTGATTATATTATTGGGGCTTAGAACTATCCTTCTTTATTAAATTTAAATTCTAGGGTTTAATTGATGAACTCTAGAAATGTTTTATTTGTGCTAAACTTTTCGGATTATTCAATGTAGAATTATGGCTAGACGCAATGCTCGCAACAGGCAGTCATTCCCGTCTCCGTCCCCACCTCCATCGCCTCGTCAGCAGGATCCTACCGATCCAGACTGGGCTTTTTCGAGGCTTATCATTCAGTTTTAAGGCATGCATGTGCCTACCTTCACGGGGACCGAGAGCCTTACTGCCGTGCTGGAGTGGATGAAGGAACTCGATAAGATCTTCGCAGTGCTTCCACTCTCTCAGGCACAAAGCGTCTCTCTGGCTGGCTTTAAGATGAAGATGGACGCTTCAGATTGGTGGATTGACTACTATGTCTTAGGCCAGCAGCGGAGCGCGATGCTCTCACCTGGGAGCGTATGAAGGATATCGTCCGAGAAAAATTCCTTCCTCAGAGTTTCCGTGACCGCATGGAGCAGGAGTTTTGGCACCTCCACCAGGGTAATGCTAGCATGGACGAGTACACGCACAATTTCACCCGTATGAGTATCTTTGCTGGCGAAATGGTGAATATTGATGCCAAGAAATCCCGCAAGTATCTGAAGGGGCTGAATCAGTGAGTCTGCGAGCTTGTAGGGAGCCATGGAGCAATGCCTTATGCTGATACTGTTCTGCGAGCTCAGGAGGTTAAGAGTTGTCTGATTCCGATAGCTCCAGTCCCGTCCTATTATCATGCTTCTCAGACCACTCAAACTGCACCACCGCTCATCTTTCAGCCACCTGTAGTTCCTCAAATTTCCTATCAGTATCCTACCCCTTTCACTTCGGTTCCTTCGTCCTCTTGCTCCGGGAAGAGGAAGAACGGCCATTAGAACCGCAAGAAGGGAAAGCGCCCTAACCAGGGCCCACGCCACCCTCAGCAGCATAAACCTGTGGTGCAGAATGCCCAACGCCTCTGTCAGATTCCAGCTGGACCCTGCCTTTTCGAGCATGCGGATGAGTCCACGAGGCCAACATGTGTCGGGCTGCTGACATGACTTCTTTCAACTGCCAGAGGAAGGGCCATTTCTCTCGTGCCTGCCCAGAACTTCGTAGGCCACCTCAGCAGCAGCAGCGAGCCCCAGCCTAAGTTTATGCTCTAACCCAAGAGGAGACAACCAACAATGCAGGTACAATGTCTGGCATGTTGTCTTTATCGAATGTAACTATCTATGCTTTACGTGATACTGGGGCCACGCATTCCTTCATCTCGCATCAATTCCTGGAGTCATTGGGAATCCGTAGTATTAGTAGAGTCGATGCTCTCGAGGTTTGTCTGGCTTCGGAAAAGAAGATCTCTGCCGACACGATGGTACAGGGACTTGAAATTTCGATCGGAGGCCGAACATTTGAGGCAGATGCTTACATTATTGACATGGATGATTTCGACGTCATCCTCGACATGGACTGGCTCACCCACTACCGTGCCGACATCCGATGCTTAGAGAAGGAGGTCATGCTCCACCCAACCGACGAAGACTCGATCATGTTTTACGGCGCCAAGTCGAGGACCGTGCCAATGGTAATTCCTCCCCTGAAGGCCATGAAGGGAATAGCGAAGGGTAGTTGCTAAGGCTACCTAGTGAGCATGATCGGAGAAGGCGAAGAGAAGAATCCATCACCTGGGGACGTATCAATTGCCAAGACAAGCTACATCCAGTTTATACTACAACCTACACCGATAGTCATGTCCATAATTATCTCAGTTGTGAATACCATTTATATCTTATAAGGGACCGACAATGTAATCTTCTGTGTGACTACTAACACACCACATTGTCTACAATATAAGATAATTGGACATTTAGCATACAAGCAATTATAAAGAATGCAACAATGTGAAAACATTTATTTCAGTCAAATGGGAAATCGAATTATAAAGAATGCAACAATGTGAAAACATTTATTTCAGTCAAATGGGAAATCGAATAAATACAATCCAAAAGCTCACATAAAAGTTTGTTTTACAATATACCCCAAAACCTTAGGCTCGACAGGAAGAGCTATTATTGGAGAAGGTATAAGACTTATTCTATATACAGGTATGTCTAAAAACCTAAGAGGAATACCTCGAGGAAAGAGGTTAAGTCGAGAAGACTCAGCTCGAAAAGAATTAGGGATTTTGTTAAGGGTGCATGATAACAGAGCCTGATTATATTCATCCCAGTCGACCCCAAAAGAAGAGATGGCAGAATTGGGAGAATTTCTCAGCTCGACTACTAGCCTAAAGTCGATTATTTGAACAAAATCGGAGCCCGAGTATTCATTAATTTGGCAACCGAGGGAAATAGAGACGTGATCGGAGTCAGAATCTAGTGAAAAGTTCTGAAGAACGATGATCAGTTCAATGAAACACAAAACTAGACACTAGGGGCTAGGAAATATGAGAGCATCAATGTAAGGATGTCGACAATCATAAAAGGAAAGCGTAAACAAGGACGAAGTTGAGTTGGATGGGTCTAACCCGGCTCGACTTAGACGTAAAAGAAAACATGTAACGAAGGCCCTAAATCTAGGTCGATGGTCCGGTGTAGGATTATCGACTTAGGGGATTTGCAAACCGACATGAGTGGATCTGTGAAGATGATGAATCAACACTAAACTCTAGATCTACGGGCAAACACTTAGATGGATGTACAACACCTGTGTTGAAGATCTAACAAAGAAAATCACTAAAAAATGTTTAAAAAAACTTCGGTAAATGCTAAGAACCCTTATGAGCATTTATGTTCAAAACCCAGAAATGGCAAAACAGTAAAAATTTGCAGAAGAGTGAGATTAGTAGGACTTACACATATTGACTTGCTGAAGTTCTGAGGAATCCAAAGTAATGCCCAGAAAGTTGCGTACACCGGAAAGTTGAGTGCTCTATGACCGAAAAAGATAAGAAATCTCGAGAACTTGAGTGCAAAAAATTGGGCAGAAAAAAGGAAGGAGGATATTTATAGGGAGAACTGCTTAACCTTAGCCCTCAGATTAAAGTAAATACAACGGCTGGGATGAGGCACAAAATACGAAGTGGTGGAGAGAGAAGGACGCTCCACATCCTAATCTGAATTTCAAATTTTAAAATTTGAAAAGAATACCGAGAGTAATGGATAGACTTAAGAATATTAAAGGATGATGAGATGACTAGATAGCCATCAAGGCTATTTGAGGAGTCGAGCAACAACTACTGCAGCAGGCGTCACCTAAGAAAAGATGATTAAGGGTTAGTCAATCGACTAATTTACTCTTAAGCGCAGAATCGCTTAGAGTAATTTTTTTGGCC